AATTATATCTTTTGTCATAAACAGGGTACCCCTTTCAGAAACCCAGCGGAACACCCCTACCCAAATCCTGGCAGAGTACCCCCCCCTCCCCGGGTGTACCACGTGGAGCAATAGGGGTAACATGAAATATGGACTGTACCATGTGGGGTAAATGGGGTAACATATGAAAGTGTGTCAACTGTTTTTGGTATTCTACCAGAAGCTTTCTCAAAATGAAATGAAATTAAAATTAAATTTTATTTTATTTTGAAGTACACACTATCAGTCATATAACCATTCCTAAATAAACTCGCCAATCACATTTTGTCATTCAGAGGTATAAAAAGCACTCCGCTATGGTTCATGCTTTTATACCTGACAAAACACTCATACTCATTTATTGAGAGCTACATAGACCACTCAGACTCAGGGTCTAATTGTTAGGTATTATAAACCTTATAATGGCCAATTGGTTATTCTGTTAATCACAGTGTTATGGGGACTTTTATTAGATGCTTGCTGTTAAACTTACCACACCCATTTAGTTTTCTTGTTACTTGCAAGTGGTCATCTTTTATCCCTCTATTATTTAGCTCCTGGTTGTTCAATGATGTTTCTCTAGGAGGAGCAGAAACTGGGATCAATGCACCTTGAGTCCTTAGACAATCCTCAACAGTTCCAGCTTTTCTGTAGCTGCCTTGAGCTGTGTGTATGTCGCCACGAGAATGTTCATGGGTTTGAGAGGATGCATCTAATGAAACAGGTTTGGTACTATGTAGGGTTTTAATGGTGCTTTGAACAGTGTGGTATTCAAAACTCTTCAAAACAAACTCCAATTCCCTCTGATAAAGAAAAATGGTGAAAAATGTATAAGCCTTAATATGATATTTTCAGAATGGATTATTTAATAGCATTAGTGATGTTGATTGTGCAAATTCTTGGTAATGGTGGATTTCCCCACATTACGGACAGTGTATCATTGCCAAAAGTATCATTTCTTTGTTTAACAGTTGAGCATGAGAAGACACATGTATAAAATGAATACAACTCAAACAAAAACTTATTCTCCAGAAAATGACATATGGTTTGTAATGGAAATACATTGCACCACAAGGAACAAGTAAGGTCTATTTAAAACTCAAAATTTTAACTTCATGTATTATTATTGTTTCTAACCCTCAGGTAGTTCAACTGATTATCTGTACTCTGCCTGTAAGAGTGCAGCTCACTTTGTAGTTTCATATTTTGTTCTTGAGTCTGGACGATATCCTATTAGCAGTCACAGAAAAATGATCAAAATATTGCTGAAATATCCAACCAATAATTTAATTAAAAAGCAAAATTCAGTCTTACGTTTGTTAAGGCATCAATTAGTTCTCTTTGTTCAGAAAACCCCTGAAGTATTTGGTCTCTTAAGATGGCTTCAGCATTGCGCTGTATTTCCGTCTGCAGAAAAGTTTAATTCAGATATTAGTAAATACTTACCATGCGTCAGCTAGGACCCAGGTTTTAGGTAGGTGCAACTTAATCTGATTAGCTCAGTTGGTAAGAGCATTGGTCTGTTGTGTGGGAGGCCGTGGTTTAAAGACCCATTGCCACTTACCGTGATGCATCACAATTTGTTTACATTTTGAATCGCGTCACCACTGAAAAAACAATTCCAACCTTTTGAATAAACTCTTAAAAGAATATAAAAGAATCATTATTATGCCTTAGTGCTATGTCGGAAAAGGATTTAATATGAAGTTATTATTCAATATATGAATCTTTGAATTTCATGGACCACGAAATTCATCTGTGACCACGGTGCATCACGGTAAGTGGCAATGGGTCTTTAAGCCTCGACCGGACCAACACTCAGGGCCTTAATATAACTGAGGAGAAGGTGCTGTCATTGTTATTACATGACTTGTACTGTACATCTGCAAATGGTTAGACCTTCATGTGGCTTGGATGACCATGTTAATGATGGTCCTGTCCCTAATTAACTAGAGACGATAAAAGAGGACCACAAGTTTATCAGTTGAATTAAGTGTCCAGTGTTATATCCTCTATAATTAATATATTTTATGGACTAGAACACCAGGTCAGCTGGAAGTGTAGGTAAAATAATTCAAGTTCCTAAAGAAAGAACCTAATCATGGATAATGATGCGTCTGGTGATAAACAGGAACTGGTAGAATCTTGTTAGAGAGAGAATTCTATCACATAATGAGAAAAGAATCGAGGGGAGAATGGAAAGGAGAAATGGAAGGGAATTCAAGTGGAAAATGAAAAGGATGGAGCTGGTTGCAATTATTTTTTTAACCTGTGGCAAAGTATGGAAAAGAGCTACTAACCATGGCTGATCTGATATTCCAGTATGGTCTGATATGTTAATAATTCCACTTTACAGGAAAACTGGTGCATAGACCATCTTTTGCAGCATTCAATTATGACTTCATGTAGAGCATCCAGGAAAAGAATGCTTAACAGACATAGACCTACCTCCTTTAAGTACTTCATCAGCTTGGTAACAGCAATGATCAAAGAAGAAGTATAGCCACTAAAATTTCTTGACTGGAGAGAATAATGAGAAAAAGGAATTAGCCTTGAAACATGAAGGTTAAGCTGTAATAAATATTGTAATTATATACCAAGTATCAAAGTTCAGTTTCTTTATCTTCTTATTGGCCAATGTTTCCCGCCAACATAACATTTATTCACTGGGGTGTAATAAAAACTCACAAACTGTGTCAGAAGTATGTGGGAATCTGAATCACAAGGTTTCTCTTTGCTTGGCTTGTGCTTCAAATACTCTTTTGACAGTCACTAATTTTCACTTGCAATCAGTGACACATAAACTTCTTCTAAATCAGATTCAGTTGCAAGTGAAACAAGGCACCTGATCATATCAAAGTATGAAAGCAGCTTACTTATTATATAATTAATTTGATATAATGCAAGACAGCTGATCTTGCTGACTTTGGTAATACTGTAGGTAACAAATAGGCCAAATACACGATAGCTAGGTAGATGGATCACGTGTGAGGTATCATCATTTTAATTATAACTTTTACTTGGATATTGTCCTACCTGGGGTGTGGTGGTGGTTGGTTGTCTTCCTGTCTCCATCTCATACTCTGCTATCTCATCTTCCAAGCTTTCTACCATCTAGAATAAAGAAATCATATAATTGTATAAACTTGTTGTATGTTCCGAGTATTAAGAGAATTGATTGGATGATGATAAGATAAAGGTTTAGGCATTTATTATCTCAGGGAAATAATAAAATGCAAAAAAGCCATTTCTGGACTGACATTTTAGGTTGAGTACAGCTGTTTCTTTTATAGAAACTGTCAGTCCCATTTATTGTCTTGTAAGCTATGGTGGAATGATTAGGCAGTAGCCCCATATTTACTAACCATTGCCATTAATAAATTATTAGCCAATATGGCATCTTCCCTCTCTTGCATTTTACACATCTTAGTAAGACTCAACTGTATGTAATAACTGGTTGGTACCCTATATTATATGTAACCGATGCTGATGCTTTCAACAGCCCTTTCAAACCACCACACAGCCATACTCCACCTCCTGATATTTTACTCGTCAGACCGTTTTTTCTTTTGTTTAATTGACTCTGAAGTTGTCAGCCTCTAGGTCAGTTATTTTTATTATTTGATGGGACCTCTACAAACACTGCACTTGCCTGTACCATGTCTTAACATTAAAAACCCATCATCATACATGCACTGTAAATGATATCATCTAATACCTTTTTCAAGTCTTCCAGACTTCTCAGGCTACTGGTAGATGATGATGTGCTGGTATCATTGGCCTTTGGCTGTCTTTGCGATTTAGTCTTTCCTTCTCTAATGGGATTTATAGCCACTTTAGGTTGACTAATAATTAGAAAATATTAGTAAAATGGCTGACAAATCAGTTTCATAGTCTTATGATAATGATAATAATTGGTCTTTATTAGTCTAATAAAAAACATACATAAGACAATTACAAATATTTATTAAATCAATAGCAATAATAATAAACAACAGTATAATACTTTTACATATAAAAAATATCTGTAAATGCTATAAAAAGATATACTTGATTTTACCTGTGCCCGGCTAGAAGAATTAGAGACATTAATAAAGTTATTATTATTATTATTATTATCATTACTTAACTAAATTATGTTTAAAATTTAACCCATTAATGAAACTATTTTTGAAGTGCTCAGCTGTATAAAATAGTCTAAAATTGACAAAATCAAACTACTGTAAAAAAGTAAAAGTGACTGTATTGAAGGGGAAGAGATCCTTTATCTTAGGTAAAAGATTTAGACGTTGATTTATCTTGCAAGAAATAACTTCTACATGATCTTTCCAATCAGATGATAAAGTTACGACCAGATACTTAAAAGTATGTACGACACAACAGAAATCACGACTGTGAAGAGTGTTGTAAATCTGATACAAAATTGTGTTCATTTGCATAAACTTTAAGTTGGATTTTCTTGGTCAGATTCAATTTCATTTTGAAAATTTTAGTGAAACACAAAGGAACTAACCTAGACGTTTGATAAGCAATCTACCTTATTCGTGTACGTGTTGTATCTGATATACCAACTCTCTATATCTGATACAACACGGCCACTCATACTGTATATATTACTTAAAATAACTTTACTATGTACTGTAACGGATACACCATGCACTAAATTGTTAATTTTCTTAGAGATCTTAGAGATCTTAATAGATGATTAATATCATATTTTACTTCACTAGATATCTTTCTATCAGATTTCTCAAGTATTTGATATATGTTATGATGTTAGTGACTACAACACAGTACAAATCTGCTCTTTAATGGCGTCTATTTAAGAAACAATAAATATAGTGAAAAGATCTGATTGGCTGGCCCCTAACACAGAGATACATTAGCATAAGTACCTTGTGATAATAAGCAGCCAGATATTAAAAAATAAAACCTTCTGATGATAGTACAATCTGTTCAAACTATGGGTCCAACATAAACTATGTGATATTTTAGGCTTTCTAAGTTATGCACTTACCTTTCTCTTTCATTTGAGGGTACTTGATCAGGAACTGAAGGCAATCCAATTGATTTATGCTGTACTGCAAAAGTCAGTGATGAACTAATCAACATTACATTCGTATATAATTTAATATTTTGACGATATATGCATATCAGTCAGTAGTAACATGACAGGGAGTTGCTTGAAGATTAAGACAAAGAAAAGTAATAAACTTATATTAATTTAAATAATTATGGTCATGCTGATAAAACTGATTTTAATTCTTAAATACAGCAAGGAAGAGTAAAAACCTACCCAAATCACTTCTGGCAAAAGTATTTACATTTGATGCATGTTTAACTGTATTAGTTGGTACCCTATCACTTGACATTTGTGATATATGTACTGACTGGCTTCTTTCTGGGTATGAGTGAAGGTTTTGGTTCTCCATACGTCTATCTGGCACAACATCTTCAACCTTGTAACACTCCTTATTAGATTCATGAGATATTAACTGCCTGTAGTGTTGAAGGTCAAGCTGGGGTTCAAACATGGTTCTCTGAGGCTCATGTTTTTCAGCATCCTCTTGTATTTGTTCATCACTTACTGATGACTCACTGTCTGTTTTGTCAGACAGCTCATTAAGAGCAGGTGTCCTCATGATGGACTCACTTAATATGGATAACTGTGTGGGTGAATTTAGCATTTCTGAAACTGGACCACCTATATACCTGCTGATTAGAATATCCATACTAACAGTAAATTTTAAAATGCAGTAATTTGAAGTTTATATATCAACAAAAAAATTGATGGTTATTAGAAAGGAAATTCATTTATTTCAATACCGTGGCAATGACGTGGGAAGCGGTTACCCAATTCTCCCTAGCCAATGGGCTCATGTATAAAGTGCTTGAAGGACGTAGCCCTTTACCCTCAGAGGCTAACAAATGTTCCTTATTATGGGTATTTACAGCTAAAGCTACACATTACACAGAACAGTCTATCTAGTGAAGGCTGCATGTGTGCACTAACCAACTGAACTGCACCAATTATATTTTGCAAACTCTGAATCTCATGTAAACTACTGGTACCTACTCACCTTTCTGAATTTTTCTCAGACTTGGGAGCAGCCGTTACAACTGGAAATCCTAAAAATTTCTAAAATGAAAAATAAACTTGCTTAAAACAGTTTATGAACACTGAATAATGGTTCAAAGTGGGAGATGTATGTACTTGAGATGACAAAAATCAATGACATTATTGAATTCAAACAGGGAGAACTAAATTTCAGTTTTTTGTAACTTTTTAAAAATTTATACTGCAAATCATCCCTTCAACTTACTGGTTTATAATTGATTGGAAAGATATTGATTCATTTTGATCACTTGGTTATTCAAACTCAATGCTTATTCAAGAGAGTTTGAAAAATTAGAAAGTCCAGGAAATAACTGTTTGAGTATCCTCACTGTAAAGCTACAGTTTGTATAGGAAATTCCACAATCTCCAGTACAAATTTATTGGTGCAAGTGATGTTTTAAAAGTAAATTGGACAAGCCTTTAGGAGAGTCCAATTTGAGAGCAAAACATCATGAGTTCCTTGTATGAGAAGATTGTGGAATTTTTTGTTTATAATACACATGACAAAACTGAGCAACTTAATTGGGACTCTACAGAGTACAATATTTGTAGAGGAAATCGCACGAACTCGAGTACAATTTGGAAATTAATAGACACGAGTAATGTTTTGAAAGTTCTTGTAATTGCACGAGCCTTTAGGTGAAACATTATGAGTGTCTATTAATTCCAAATTGTACGAGAAAATCGTGTGATTTTTTGTTTATAGTTCACTCAACAAAATTTCAGTAAAAAATGCAAAGCAACGCCGTTCATCTTTGTCTATTTGGCGGTCGATTTTCAGTCCATCGCRCAACTGAAATGCATAAAAAAGATTAGTTCTTACGGCTTTAAAATTTTATTTATATGTTTTTTAAGTACAAAATGATAGAAAATAGATGTTTTAACATTGTTTTGGCCGTGTTGCCATAGCGACTTAATTTGGTACTCCTACCGAGTACAATTAACGCTATAATTGTAYTCCTCTCGACCAATCAGAGTCGATTAATTTTGTTGAGTGTACTATAATAATAATAATTAAATAGTTTTTTAATTTTAATGGTTTATTTTTGTATTTTCTGTGATGTATATAAGGTATTATTTAATGCAGTGAAGCACAGTTTGTATTGTATGTGTCAGACCTGGCCAAGGGGGTGCCAAGATAATGTATTCAATATTTACCCTCTATTATAGCAACATACCCAGAATTTCAGGAATGACTGGGATCCCAATAATTCCAAAAACAAGATACTTTATTTACATACCCAAAAAATCTGGCTGGTTCTTACTAATGTCAAGTTGAGTTTTAAAATCCAATTCCATCTTTGTGATAGACTCCCAATGTGTGTGACATGACAACAAAATAAATACAGCTTTGCAGCTAGACAAAGAATGTGTTTTAATATTTTACACTGATCACAACATACCTTTGGGTCATCACCAAATAAATCTTTTACTGCAGACATTGTTGTGTCTGTTTCAGCTAAGACAGACTGAAACTAATCAACAAATTATGTTTTCAATACTACATGTATATGTGAAAAAAAATCAATCAGTACCTTTAACATTTTTGACTGGCAGCAGTGAAAAAACAACAACAATTTCCAATGGGCTACTCTAAACTACTGAAATTGCATTATTGAAAATTGCAGATGTATAGGATATAAATATATATACTGTATATGGAAGATGCACACTTGTATTAAGCAATCTGAGTTGCATATAAGTTGAAGGTGTATCTTCGAGATAAGGAGCCCTTTTTTCATTCAGTATTTTCTACTATATAGCCTAAATAGTGTGCATGCACCCTCTGATTGACTGAGAACTGTGTTTTATTTGTGAACAAAGACGTCACAGTAATTTCTGATGACATCCACCAGCATGCAACAACTTTGCAAAAAAGAATAGTGCTAACAGCATCAAAAACTACAGCAAACAGTGTGCCCTCTCAACATGTAGAATGAGTTGTTTGTACATTAGTTTGATTCTAGTTCAAGCATGGAAGTATAGGCTATAAGATATATCCTACTAGTAGCGAAAAGTGCCACCTTTGAAAACCAAAACATTGAATTTAACTTTAATTCAAAACTAGTAAACTTGCATCTATATATTTAAGCGTTAGTTGGATTTGACTTTAAATAATTAATTTAGTCAACTAGCCCCCATGGCCTATGGGTCAATAGCCCATTCAGGCCCGAGGATGAATTGCTAAATATATACTGAAAACACCGACGCAGTTTACACTAGTTTTCCACCTTATTCATTGCTAAATATATAGGTAATAGATCCTCGGCTTGGCGTAATGTTGCCCCATTTCAGACCACGTGTCATTCTCTTGAGAATAATATTCTTTGTTTGAGTTGTATCCATATTCATGTGTAAACAAAGAAATGATACTCTAGGGAATGACACGTGATCTGAAATGGAAAAACATTACGTCAGAGCCCAGGAGGTCTATTGCAATTGATATTCAGGAACTTCCCACCATTTTCCACAATAACAATCCTTACGTTATCTTGGCCAAAAAGAATCTCCTGCAGGATGGCCTGTTTTCGTTTAGTACTACTGTCTGGATGGTCTGGACTGGTATCACTTTGGTTTTCCTTCCTTTTGACTTCTCTTGCCCAACCAGAGCTAGCATTTTTAGATTTGTGTGCTTCACGTCTTCTTCTCTGATTTGTAATAGATCAAAATACTTACGGTAAAATAACTGAACTTAATTTTGATGCTTATAAATAAACTTAATATAATAAACATTTTGAACTAATCACTTACCAGTTCATCTTGGCTCGCTTTATAAACATTAAGGTCACTAACAGTATCCTACAGTATATCGGGGAGAAATGAAAAATAATTAACTATTTTGTCCTCTAAAAAAGTTTAGAAAAACTTTCAACGTTGGAAAATTTTGTGGTCAAAATCCGGGAAATCAAAACTAGTCTTTAAATAGCCTTTATTAAAAAAAAATTAATTAAAATGCTTCTTAATACTAACGTCCCACTCTGGTTTCTTTTTCTTCTTCTGCGTAAACTTCGTTTGTCTCTTAGCAGCCTTATTTCTATCATTCTTTCGTCTAAGTGTTCCATCACCGACAAGAAATCCTCGAGAAGGACGCGACGCCATATTGGAATTTACCGCCTTTCTTGCCAGACAATATTTAACCAGGGTGGTCCACTGGGGGCTTGTTGTCTTCTCTCCAGTAGGTATGTACTTCATGGCTGAATGCCATATAGACGACGTCCTACTATATGAATACCACATATAGCTTGTACACTAACATGTCCTTCGCTATGATCACCCATTCTTAACTGTGTTTACCTTTGATTACCTGTTATTACCTGTACTTAGCAGGGATTGCCTGTCCTTAACTGGGATTAGTTGTTCTTAGCTGTCATTAGCTCCCAGGGGGGGGGGGGGGGG